ATTGCGTTGTGGAAATTGATGAAAGTTTGTTTACTAAGCGTAAAAATAATTGGGGTTGAGTATTACCCGAACAGTGGGTGTTTGGTGGTAATGTAGAGAAACAAAAGATCCGTTTACTGTCAATGTTCCTAATAGAACTGGCTCTATGCTTCTTAATAAAATTACTGAAAACACTGCAGATGGTAGCACAATTTATTCTGACAGTTGGAAAGGTTACCAAACAAATAGAATAGAAAAAGAAGGATTCCTACATGCTAAAGTTAATCATAAATACAATTTTATTGATCCTGATACAGGAGTTCATACACAAACAGTTGAGAGAATGTGGTGCACTGCTAAATGGATGAACAAGATACATAGGAGGACAGCGAGACATCATTTAGAAGCTTATTTATCAGAGTTCATATGGTGACAGCATCAGGTCAAAGAAAATAGAGACTGTTTTGAATCTATGTTAAACTCTATATCGGCCCATTTTCCACCAAAATCCAATTTACTTTGATTTTAAATAAAGTGTTTTAATTTATGATTTGTCACAAAAATTTTAGATGTAGATTGGCAGCACTTAAAAAACGCCAAACCTGCAGCTGCAGTGGTGTTAATACGCAAGTACCGAAAAGATTATTTTTGTTAAAACACACTTACCTATTTTTGAAGTTTATACTTCAGCAGTTATTGCAGATATATTATTATAAATATTCATACACATGCTCCTAATATAAGCATAACAATCATAATAAACGCAAGTACGACCTGACCCCGCAGAATGAGAATGTAAATTATTAAAATCTTGATAGAAATTCAAACATGTGTAGTATTGGGTTGGGGGAAAAGAATACGGAATGTACCGGAATTTTCTACTGCTTTCGCAATTCTTTGACTAATAGAATGACGTGCACCAGTCTGTGCTTGCGCACACCAAAGGTTATGTTAATGCAGAGAAAGGGGCAAAAAGCTATTTCCGGGAGTATAATTCACCATCTCATGTTCCATATAAGGAAGAAAAGTTGTTTATTTAGTTTTGGCTTTGGTACGGGCAAAAAATTAGTGTTTGTTAAAAAAAAATAAATAAATAAAACACTAAAAGCAAAAAATAATAAGGGCTTTTATATTTTATTTTCAAATATAAGGACTTATAAGCACTTATACGGACTGCTACGAACTCTGTAAAAACTGAGACTAAAATTTTAAGGTCCTTATAAAGTCACAAATGTTAAACTTAACAATGAATATGATGTTGAGAAAATCTGATGCCATGAAGGACAAAATAAGACAGCCGTTAGAGTTAAACACATGAAACCATGGTGAAGTGATTTGCAACATTTTACATATTGTGAAAGAACTAGATATCTGGTTGTAATAAAAATTTTCTGCCAAAAAGCGTTCTTAATAAATTAAGGGGAGGAACACGAAAGCTGTACTGGCACCAAATCTATGACTTTCTGCCAAAACTTTGGTAGTTTTTCAGAGCCTTCAGCCCAGAAACTTGGTAGCCACGAATCCAAAAACAGATCAACCTCATTTCTGACATCCTGTGGATGTCCAGGATGGAAGATAGCACTAGCAAGATGTAGCTGCAGGTATACAAAAAGGTAGAAGTCCAAAGATATGATGTTGGGGCTATATCATAGGTTTGGCAAAAGATCCCATTCGAGTCTGTACTAGTCCAGCCAGTGGTCTTGCAATATCTCAATGGAACATTACCTTTTTGCACCGGAACTCCGCTCGACATTTCCCCTTGATAGCAACATCAGCATGGACTAGCACCCCATTGTACATCTTACTGTCGAGGATTTTACTTTCTCCCAGATAATCTTTGTGGATAATACCACAGTAATCCCACCAGATATAAAGCATTATCTTTTTGTTAATGAAATTGTGATTGAATTTGTACGTCAAGTTTATGTACAGCACAACTTGCACGTCAAGTTTATGCACAGCACAACTGATGGGCATGACACAAGTCTAACTCCTTAACAAGCTCTCGAGTGGTTGCATACTGATCTTCTTCCACAAGTTCTCGCAAGCAGCCTTCATCAATGTCAGGAGGCCCGCCAGAGCACTCTGCTTCTTGAATGTAATAGCCCTTGTTTTTGAACTTTCGGAACCAAACCTTCACAGTGTTATGTGATACAATATTAGTACCTAAAGCTGTACAGATGATTTGGTGACATTCTGTAGCTGACTTTTTACAACAAAATCGGAAGTAAATGATGGTTCTAATCTGATACAGGGTTGCCACTCAAACAGGAGAATGAAATTCCCTGACTTTTCCAGGTGTGTTTTAAGAAAATTCCAGTCTATCCGCATAATGCACGTTGGCTGTGCTAAGAGGTAAATTAATTATGGTATTACTCGAAAACACAAGTAATCCCCAAAGCATTACTTTTATAACTATACTAGGAGTTGTTTTCTCCACTGAAGATTGAGATTAGAATTTGCCCAATCTCGATTAAAAAATGTCTTTTTTCAGAAACATTTTGCAGCTAAACAAAAGAAAGAAATCTATTTAATGATATTTTTAAATAAATTCAGGTATATTATATACAGAAGCAAAAAATATGTCCATTAAAACTCGCGATGGTATGTCATACTGCTAGAATTAATTTCAGGATTATGACAGAGAAAATATTCTGAAATTTAAAAGCATTATTTATGAATAATACATAAATTTAGGGGGAAGAAGCAACATTAAATGATATGAATAACATAAAAATAAAGATAATTACTTTAAAATTGAATTAGAAAATCAACGATATTTTAGCAATTTAGTTATATTAAATTATTATTAAATGGTTAGCTTAGATGACTCATTATTATTTTTTATATTACTGCAAAATGAAAATTAGGCATTTATTAAAAAGAAAAAAAAAAAAAAAAAAAGGTTTAAAAGATTTTGCGGTAAAATCCTAGTATACAGTAAGGTCTTGACACAATTTTGAGAACTGTCACCAAGACCAAAATGACACATTTACTGCTTATCATAATGTCACAAAATCCCGTGTGTACCATACATGGAGATTATTCTAACCAAAGAACGTCTATGTAAAGAAGAAAAGGTTCCATAGACGTAATGCTATTAAACCCAACGACTTCATATAACAGTATATATCTCGTTGATTATGCCGCTGGAAAGCGGAGGGAAAATTTGCAAAGGGATTTGGCGACAGAACCTGGCGGCCAGAATTTCCCTCTCCATACAAGAAATATAAGTAAAAGTCTGCAAATATTTTTCAGTAGTCTTAAAACCCATTCTCCAATTCTTTTGTCAAAATGGTAGTCAATAATAAATACTTCAATATTTATCAAATAAAATTTTTCATGTCAAAATGAATGAAGATGCTATTCTTAATGTGAGACTAAAGCAATTGCAATTTAATTTTCGAAGTTGCTAACATTTGAATTAAGATTTTTTAATTGCTTTCGTCCTTTGACATTCCGTTAATTAAAGCAAGTAACAGCAGCAATCTACCAGCTAAAAATCAGACCACTAGTTCTCATTTTCAATGACACATGCATTCAAACTCATTTATATATATATATATATATATATATATATATATACAATCAAGTCTTTAACCAGATTCGTCGGGACTTTGGCAATTCTGGATTATCAGTTTTTCTGGATTATAGATCATCAATTTAAATCTGGTAAGATGGCATGCAGAAATTATAAAATTAAAAATATGAAACCGTAATTTATGAAATAAAGAGCAATTATGATCTAAATGGCATCAAAATTTACCAAAAAAAAAAGCTTAATATTTATTTATTTACTGTATCAAACATTTCTTTCAACGTGTGCATGCGTAAAGCATACATTACGCATAGTCGAAATTAGAAAACTGCAACCAGAAAATTATTTGATGTGTATTCGTGATATTTATAATGACGAGGAATTTGATTTAAATCATATCAAACACGGAGTACATCTAGGTGAAATACTACATTTAGTAAGGAATTATAAGCCGAATAAAATAAAAACATCTGCTCTGAAGATGAGGATAGTGCTGACTGATCAACTTCCAGTTCATTGCGCGCCACGTCGCCCCCTCCCCTCAGAGCAGCGTGAAATTGATAAACATATTTCGGAATGATTAGAGAATCAAAGGATAAGCCTTTATCCATTTTTTGCAGCAATTCCACTTTTTGTTTGATGGACATCGAAACATGCTTTTGCTTTGTAGATCCTTTGGCAGTTCCAGAATCGGAAATTATTTTTGACATAATTGAAAGTTCAAGCTTACTTTTATAAAATTGCTCTAACAGTCTGCAGAAAATAATAAGCCGGATCCAATTCGAAGATTAATGAACAACACAATCTGCAACGTTAACTGAAATAGATAATTAGATAATTTTAGCTTAGCTTATACCGTCCGTTATACATTAAACACGCATGCGTAAAGGTTTTATGCGCATGCATGCGTTTACACATGCGCAGAAAGTTTGTAGCTTTGAGGTCCGGATTATAGATCATGCTGGATTACGGACATCCGGATTAATGCGTCCGGATTATAGATCATGCTGGATTACGGACATCCGGATTAATGCGTCCGGATTTGACTGTATATATATAAGATGCAAACTACTACATGCAAGCTACTACATACGTTCCATTTGTTAGCTGACAAGCTACCAGTAAAACTATAAGACCTGTGGTACCATTCTTTAAATTCTTCCCACTTAAAAAGCAACTGGGGAAAGGAGAACAAAACCCAGGCAACCAAATCCGCTTGGTTATGATTTATTATGCCACAATTAGTTTAGTCAGGCACCAACGTAAAGTACCGATTTCAAAGCCAGGAATGTGATAAATCAATGATCCCTCTTTCAAATTTTAACCATGGGTTTTTTTATTGCTAGCAGGACATCTTGTTTAATACATCGTAAGGTGTAATAAACAGTGGGTAAGGCAAAAATTCCTTATACAAATGTTAAGACTCAGCAAAGGTATCAAAATTAATTATTTGTATATAGATCTTGATAAATAAGCAACTTACATGAACAGCATCGTTGCTAGATGAAACTAAGGAAAAAGGAGCTGTAGGCCTGGCAACGCCAAGTCTTACTGGTGCAATAAGAGCATCAGCAGTTTCACAAAGTTCTTCCACAGCTATTGTGATGAGAGCTTGAAACACTCTTCTACACTTAGTCAAAGGTTGATTGGCAGTACTAATACTAAAAAAAAAAAAAAAAAAAAAAAAAAAAAAAAAAAAAAAAAATTTTTTTTTTTTTTAAATGACATACTTTATTCCATGTATGTATATACACATATATGTAAATAGCACACACATATGTCAACAATGTATCTTTTTACCTTGCATTATCTACAGTGGATTGACAAAAATATGGAAACACCTTGTGAAATGCATGTTTGAAAAGAAAGATTGATTTTAATGAAATATGTAGGTGGGGCTGGCGTTTTTGACTACTGATGCCACCTACACAACTTCGTAAATGTGCTAAACAGTTCAGTTGTTGTCGGAGTACTGTTATGTGAGGTTGTCATTGCATTATGTCAGAGTTAACAGACTTCGAACGTGGGCAAATTGTTGGAGCACGTATGGTAGGTGCTTCCGTAAGCAAGGTAGCCGAGGTGTTAGTGTTTCAAGAGGTACTGTATCGAAGATTTATTCCGCATATTTGAAAAGCGAAAAAACATCATCTGCTAAATCACAACACAAACGAAAGTGTGTCCTGAGTGATCGTGACAGACGATCATTAAGGGCAATTGTGACGAAAAATAAGAAGACCACAGGTGCAAAAGTTACTGTAAAATGAATGTTGTGTTACCGAACCCTGTGAGTACCAAAACAATTAGAAGGGAGCTTCATAAACGGGGAATTGCTGGCCGTGCTGCAATTGAGAAGCCACTCATCAGTGATGCTAATGCCCGTAACAGGAAAAGGTGGTGTTTAAGTCATAAAGCCTGGACTATAGAGCAGTGGAAGCGAGTAATATGGTCCGACGTGTCTTCTTTCACATTTGTTTCCACTTCTGGCCGAGTTTACATCTGGAGAACGCCATCTCAAGCCTATAATACAGACTGCTTGTTGCCAAGAGTGAAACATGGCGGGGGTTCTGTTATAGTTTGGGCAGCCATATCATGGTTCTCTGCTAGCCCCATAATAACTGTGTCAGGGCACATGACTGCCAAGACTTATGTAAACATTTTGGCCGATCAAGTTCATCCCATGGTACAAACTTTGTTCCCCGATGGTGATGGTGTCTTCCAAGACGACAAAGCCCCTGTTCACACTGCTCACATTGTCCAGGACTGGTTTTCTGAGCACGACGATGAGTTGTCCCATCTCCCCTGGCCACCACAGTCACCAGACCTGAATATTATCGAACCTTTGTGGTCTACATTGGAACGGAAAGTGCGTTCTCGTTATCCACCGCCAACATCATTATCTGAACTTGCCACCGTTTTGCAGGAAGAATGGTATAATATTCCCTTGGCAAACACACAGGAACTGTATTTATCCATTCCAAGAAGACTGCAAGCTGTTTTGGATGCCAACGGGTTTCTTACACCATATTAAGCAAAGAAACATGTTTTTTAAAGGTGTTTCCATATTTTTGTCCAACCCCTGTACTTTTCAACACATTTTATTTATTATATTTTCAAATTTATATTACGTCATTTAAATCAGAAATTCACATTTAAAAAAATAATTTATTGTAACTTTCATTATTACTATTTAATGTAACTTTCATTACTACATTACCGTAACCAGTAACAAAAAATAACAGTTATGCAGTTTATCAGATATTTCAAAGAAATCACAAATCGATTTTTTTTTTTTTCAGGAATTATATAAATTAAAAAAAAAGCAGTTTCAAGTTTTGAAAAACATCAACAAATTTTTAAAACACATCAAACCATTTATTAGAAAGTTAAATAAAATTTTACAACTGCAAAATAATAATTTTTAAGTCATAGTAAAATGTAATTTTTTTTCCAAGAAGTTTATTCTTACTTTTTCTTTTTTGAAGTACTGGGTGCCATTTCTACATTTAATACCACAAAGATCCGAGCAACTGATCGAACAAAGCGTCTAGCAACCAATGTAGCTTCTCCATTTCGCCCTTCTTTTGTTTCATTTTGGATTTCAAGAATGAGAGTATTCAACAGGGTATCCAGCATCTACAACATTACAAAAGAAAATTTAATATTATTCGTATAGAACATATTTATCTCAATTTTCCTTGATTACACTATAAGAATATTCTCTATGAGAATTTCCGCATATGTGCATATGTTACCACAGAAGCAAGTTCTCAACCTTTTTTGCTCTGTGAATTCCTTTCATCACTGCTAATATCAACCCCCTCCCCTTTCCAAACTTGAAAAATGCATACATACATTTATCTAGATGTAGATTATTTTCTAGTGTGTGTTTTACAAAATGACACATAAGAAAAGATAGAAAATGTTGATAAATACCGAAACTTGAATGCAAATAGTTTTTCACTAAATGCAAACAGTTAAATAAAATGCTGACCGAATTTTCACCCTGAAACTACAAAATTCCTCTTTAAGGAAGAATTCCTACTGGTTGAGAACCACTGTATTAAAGCATAATTCTGTTACTTCATAAAACATCTAGTTATTTTCATGAAATAATGGATCAAGCCAGTTAACCCCTTAAGGCACACATTAATTTCTAATTTTCGGTCAAAAAATCACCTATTTTTTTTCTTGCATAATCATATTCTTTAGTGCATTTTAAGAAACAACAGCCAGGGTTAGCTTCAAATTGAAATCTCGGTGGTGCAATGTTTGGTTGATTTATACTAATTTGATACCAATTCCTTGCTATATCCAAAATCTCGTTGTCATTATCTTCCGATTCACTTCCATCACTCAAGAAATCATCACTCTCATCGCTGAAACTGTCTGATAAATTGGCATATTCAAAATTGTCATCGTCAGAGTCACTCATTATCAGATAACTTTTTTTAAATTACAAAAACACTTAGTAATATAATTTGCAGTTAACTGCTTACTTTTATTATATTTACGTAATAAAAATGGATATATTACCTTTTCCACACCAAACGACTACTTTATAGCAAAGAATTCCTAGCAAACTTATAGCTAATCATCAAAATGCGCCACGTGGTTTACACAAGAAAAATGCTGAATAGTGGTGCCATCTATGTCAAACAAGTTTAATTATATTCTAGCCTATTTATTTTTACTGGAACGGATCTCAGACAAGCATTAGAAATAAAATAACGCGAGATACAAGGATGCCCGTGTGAGACACGAGCATGTGCAAATTTGCCGGAAACTTTCGCCCGTGTGAGACACGGGCAAATGCGTTAAGGGGTTAAAGTGTGTAATGAATCAACAATCCTTCAATTTAAACTTATTTCAGTGAATAACTAGCAATTTTATAAATTAACTAGTAACTGACATTTAAAGTGTAAATTAAAAATTTTAATGAATTATACAGTATACAAAATATTACAAAAAATAGTCAAATCATTTGTTACAACAGAGATTATGAAAATGACCCTTGAAATTGCATAAAACATTAAAAGAAATACATTTCTTGTTGATGGACTGCATTTTACATGAACATTTTTTAAAGCCCTGACCATTACCTAAAGTAGTAGCAACTGACCAGAACAATTTCTCTATAACCAGTACTTCTTACTCTTAATTAGTTTTTGTTCACAAGAGCTGTAAAGTTATTTTATTGGACCAATTCTTGTTCCCAACAGAAAAATCCCTTATTCAGTTATTTTCATGATAAAATACACCTGGCATCACCAACTTCATATACTGAGTTATAGACTGTAGGCCCTAAAGCAGCTTCAGAATGAAGTTGATCTGGCATTAATTTCATCCTCTTAGCTTGGATTTCCAAACATTCTTCAGATTTTTATCTTTTAGTGCAAGTATTTAGTTCATTAAACAATTAGCAAATCCTCTGTACAACGTTTTGTTTACAATATTTTAGTTCAAAAGTTTAATTAAAATCACCCTGTATCACAATATAATAGGTTATGTTACCAAGCATGGTGAAACTCTATAGTTTAAATTGTTCTTTAGTGAAATAATTTGTTTAAAATGTTAACTGAATAAAAATAATTTGTGAAATAATTTGTTTAAAATGTTGTTATACACTTTAACTAATCTGACACTTCTTTTGTGAAATAACTAGGTAATTCTGTGAAATAATAGATTTCGTGCTTTAAAGGTCTTCTATACACTCACTGCCATGAAAATCTGAACACTATGGAAGAATTATCAAAATTGAACGAAATTTTATACATATGAGTACAACATTGATATATATAAGTGATTGTAAAATCAAAGCAAATAGATCATTTATTACAATAAAAACTATGGTACTTTTTGATTTCATGTTTTCAATGCTTTCACAACAGATATTTGATTTGGGTATACAGAGCAAAGACTACCTCTTTTGATGGCTACAGGGAAGTTAGCAACACAAAGTATTGTACCTATTGCAAAAACAATTTTCCTGTAATACAACATTAGTACCTCTAAAACATAAAATAACTGGGCAAATAATGTCTCCCCTTTTCCCTACAAAATTTGTGTTTTGCATTTTTAGTATTCATATACATCATGTTTTAAATTTAGCTGTAAATAAATGCAGCAAGGAATATATTATAATTCATAATTAAGGCAGCCACAAAATTTGTTTAAAATTATTTGTGTTAGTTTAATTGCTTTCTAAGATATAAAATGCTATCCATTTAATTGACTAATGTTTCTTAAGAAAAAGTTAAACAGAGAAAAATATTACCTCAGCACTGCATTTTGTTAATAAACAATGAGTGAATTTATCCAGAAGAGCTGTACCATTCTGAAGACCAAGATATGCCTGTTCATCATATACGAAACAGTAATTTGACTTTAAAGCTGAAATATCTTCCCCTTTCCAACCAGCTAATATAGTAAACTTTACTGCATTCCAATCCTTTAGCAATCGTTCTAAAGCCCGTCGGGAAAATCTTGGTGGTTCTAAATCATGTTCTGGCATATCTGTTTCAGCTAAAAAATATAATCAAGCTCAAACAGTTTTACAATAAAAAAATAACAGCAACATACAAAACATTAAGTTTAAAAATTACTTACGAATTTCAGAGGCTGGAGTTTTACGTGGTGCAGATGATCTTGGACGAGAAGGTCTGTACTGCTTGTGCTCAATGGCCTGACGTCCCACTGTTTGTACAAGGAAAAGTAGAATACTTTCTCCCCTTTAATAGCAAAAAAAATAAATAAATAAATAAAAATTAAAAAAATAAAGCTTATTGGCTTTTTTCTAAAATATTAATCTTTACATTTGCTAGACAGCTGCTTAAAAGCAAAAGCCATGTATGGACTTTTTAATTAATTTTTTATTAAATAAAATTGCTGTTATAATTATTATGCAATCTTTTATTAAAGTAATTAGGGACAATGTAAAAAGGACAAAATCATACTTAAAAAATATATCATGATGATACACACAGTTAAATTACATGAAAATTTATCCAGCAATGTATTTGAATTCAGAATCTTAAGCAGACAAGAGAAAACTTGGCAGATCATTGCATTAACATTCACAACATTAAATTTCATTTAATAAAAAAGTCTTTATGTTTTACTTCAATTTGTATTTTCAATAAGGTAATATTTAATTAAGTTCACTTTTAGAACCAAAGGTGTAATAATCTTATGAATCTTGAAGGATGTAACAATCTACATATTTACTCATTTCAATCTGAATTTTAAACAGTAATTTTTGGTCTCTGTAAATTTAAGGAAAGTCATCTATCACAGTCACTCAAAATCAAAAGCAAAATAAACTAATGCAAATATAAAAACAGGAAGATGAAATTTTGCATCATGAAATACTTTATTAAATTAATAAGTAAAATAAAAATAATTACCGGCTATTTGGATAACACACTAGATCAGTATCCTCAATCAGTTTGCTTAAAAGCTGATATCTAGATGGCTGATGACCAGAAATAAGTGCTTTACATTTACATTTTTCCCAACAATCACAATAAGCAGTGGGAGAAGTTTTCTTCAGTTTGCAATCATGTCCTTTATGGCAAACACGTGCACACTCAGTACAGCAACACAGCGAGCCCGTAAGACCACAGGTACGACACTCAAATATGTCCTAGAATTAAATTTTAGACAATCAAATATCAGAAAGTTATTCAAGATTAAAATACAGAATTCTGAAGTTTTAAAAGTACTTGATTTATATGTTCCGCTCCTGTCCATGTGAAACTGCATGTATCATTATAGCAAAGAACATGCAAAGGTGAATCATCTGGCAAAGCTCCACGGGGATAAATCATGGGCTGCATGAATTTCTGTTTTTCTTCGGTATCTCTTGCTGCTTCTTGAGCTAATCGCAAGAATGTATCCATTAATAGTAGAGCAGCCTGATAAGCTCGTCCTGATACAGCTGACATAAATGGTGTACACCCTTGGGCATCTCTGGGCAAATTAAAAACATAATTAAGAAATTTATTTCAGTAAAAAATACAAAAGCAAAAGCGTGGGGGGGGGGAATACATTACTTTGAAAACTACAATAACATGAAAAATTTGCCTTCAATACTATTTATAGTTACCATTAACGCTATATAAGCAGATAACATCATTTCCCCCTCATTCCCCTCTTCCCGGTTAAAATTTTCTGATACCACAAACCAGATTCCCAACCCTTTTCTTGCATCAACCCCTTTTAAAAGAACTTTTTTTTTCCATCAACCTCCATGCATTTTTCTCTCTTTATACAGCATACAACATAATCATAATAGAAATAACTGCACATAAATAATTTGAAGGTAACAGATTAAGAATATGAACAAACGTTTTTATTATTTAAAAAAAAAAAAAAAAAAAAGAGGTTTATTTGTATGTTTACTTAACTTTATAAAGAAGTTTTCAAAAACAAAATCACAATTTCTAATTGCACAAAAGTTCAATTTTAATTTATGTGATGACGTTGCTTGATCATACTGGTATAATTTTTTTTTTAATATTTGGTACAAAACTGCTTAATCCTTGTTAAAAAATATTCAACCTTCTTATTTCCCATAGTAAATCACTGACTTGATTAAAGGCAGCTTCCACTACATTAGGCAACAAAAGAGCCAATAATACTGGTTCGGTAATAACTTTTTATTTGGGGATATTTTTCATGGATGACTTTAAAATTCCAAACTTAGCACTCTCGTGTATTTGAACAAGACTTGCACTAAACATACTCCTTCAATGCAGTCAACTCTTTCTGTGTTATAATATTAATTACTTTGTTATAACATCAAGATCAAATATACTGTAACTCATTAGTTCTATTAGCCATGTTGGCACATTCAAATTTTCAATGTCTTGAAAAGCAAACATTAAAATCTTCTTTTAAACTTTACAAATCAACACAAGTAGGACATTTTTTGAATTTTATTTATTGTGTTGCCTTAAGGTTATCAGCTTCAACGAAAAATTCAATTATGCATACCCCACGGTAAAACTTGTCAGCAGTCAACACATAAACAACATTTTAACAACCTTAAAAACGTGCTTCCAAGGCATATTTTTAATTAACTGGTTGTCAATTTTTAATTAGTCATTAAATATAATTAATTTTATTATATTCAACTTAAATACCATGAATATTAAAAATTGAATAATTAAAAATACTTGTAAATTAAATTACGTGCATATTAATTAAAAATTTTCATTTTTAATTAATGTGCACATAATTTACAAGTATGAATTAAAAACATAATTTACAAGTAAGGAGGTGGAAGTGTTTTTTATGGATCTTTCTTGCATTTTTAATTTTGTTAAATATTTGCTATTTTTATGTAATTTTAGTGTGGCAACATTTTTGAAAGAAGCTGTTGTGTTTTGTGTATTAGCTTCGCAAAAAATTAGCTGCCATTAACTGGACTGTGCAATTTGCGAGGGGGAGATTGTCAGAGAGCCCCTTAATACATTTTGTTAGATAAGAAAAAAAGTTTCAAAGCTAATAAACTTCAAATTATTTACCGCGCTGTAAGAAGATCCCTTAAAAATGGTTTCAGAACTGGAGAATCACATAAACTCCAAAGAATGTTCAAAGCAGCATTTTTCCTTTCTGAAGGTTCTGTTGATGTGCTTAAGCTTCCTAAAGGTGACATGGAACCTACAAAAGTAAACAATTACTGTTACAAATGCACTAGAAACATGCACAGAAGTACATCAAGGACCATACCTTTCTTTTCACTTAAGAGTATAAAATCAGATAATATATTAAAACAGAACAAAATTATATGGTGACATTTTTTGATATTGTATTTCACTTTGTGATTTAAAAAAAATATATATCATCAAAGACTGCATCTATTCTTAGAATCACGGAGTTCTGTTTCCCAAACAACATTAGTAAATGGCTGGCGTAATGAATGGCCAACTTCTATATATATCGAAACTGAGAGCGATGGCAGTGAATTTTCTGGTTTTAGGGTCAGTGCAGCAAAGGTTAAAGCAACAGAATTTTTTCTGTATTCGAAAGAAAGAACAAATGACTAGGCTTTACACAGAGAGTATATTGTTAAATAGATGATACGTCCAGATGAGCCAGCACTGGCATATCAGAAGAACAATGACAAAATTATTGGCTCTGTTTTGAACTCGAACAGTAAGTAAACAATTCAGGCACAGACACAGATAGTGAATTTGACAGGAGTGACTTCTCTTAATGAAGATTTGGAACATGGTGAAAAATACCTAAAATTTTTAGAACAAGCAGTGTCATAGAGTCAGAGATTATGACTCTACATGATTAAGAAAAAATTATTCTGGAGCAACCCTAAAGTTTTAAAGCAAACCTCTATCCAGAAAAATGAAAAATGTCAAATAAAAAAAGAAAATTTTATGCTTTATTAATGTCCCTTATTTTCTTAAATCTTTATTGTATATGTCCTTAAGGTTTTTAAATATCTCTATAATCACTAATATAAATGAGTGCTAGAATACAATAAATAACTGTACCTAATACATATAATAATAATTTAATGCATATAATAAATTAATGTAATATAATGTATATAATAATTTAATCAAATTTATGTAATAAGCCTTATTTATTTTGCAGCTTTAGTCTAAATATTATGCTTTATCTTTTCTGTCCTGATAGCTGCCAAATCCTAAAACGTGTGCAATCGCTGGTCCCAAGCATTGCAAATTTCTGGTCTTCTACTGTATTTACAATGTAAGAATATTTTGCAGATTCAAATAACAGAATAGTAAACATACAATTTTCTTTGGTTTTTGAAAGATACTAGAATAACTAACTATATAATAAAAAATACAAAACATTTATGCATATTTTAAATCTTAATTTTTTTCAGATATTTTAAGATCTAATTTATATGTATATTTCCTTTTCTTAGCTACTCTTTTAAGTTCATATCCTTTCATATCAAATCAATGTTACTGCTGGTCTCTGCTTCATCTGCTAAAAGCAATGTACTTCATTAATATCTTCAATATCCCTTTGAAGAAAATTTTACTTCTGCTTCATATAAACAATTTCTTCCTCAAAAATCTTTCTTTGCTTTTTGAATTTTCAGATTTAGTTTAAGATTTTTGTTAAATACTGCATGTATTTAGATCTTGCAGAAGCTCCTGCTGATCTCATTTCTTTATTAATTTCGATATTACGAATACCTCCAGAAAATTATACATAATCAAATATTGTGCGTCAAGAAATGTGCGATGAGTCACTTAAATTTTCAATTTCAATTGCTTTATTTACAGAGAAGCCCCTTTCAACAGAAGCCTGTCCATATGCCAAGATAAGAATCATTTTCACTATTTTCCGTATATTTGAATAGTGAAAAGTCATGAGATAAGAAGTGGGAAATGTGTCAAGAGAAAGATTTGGGAGATCAAAAGTAAAAAACTTATGTAATTTTTTTTAACTACTTTGTCTACTAACTCTCTAAACTGCAGCAGAATTTCATCACAATCATCTTGTAAAACACGCTTATTCCGTGTTAATAATGTTTGAACTATTTTCATTTTGTTCTGGGCTTTTCTAGACTTTAAGCCATTAATCATTTGATGATCCACCATCTGAATGGCACTCTTCCATTCAGATTGTAGCCACCCTTTAATCCAAGAGATATTAATAATGTCGAGTAGTCTTCGTTTTCTTTTATGGCCAAGATTTTTGAATAATTTTTCATGAAATCCATCAGTGTGTTAGGGAATTTGCTAAAATTGAAAATGGCCATTGCTAGAAGTAACTGAAATTCCTATAAGGAAAAGTGTTCAAGTTTGGGTGTCCGAGGTTGGAACTATGATATCGATAAGTCATGTTTTTGGCTTTTCTCAAAATCGGCCTATTCTCACGTGTAAAGTCAAACCTACTGTTAAATGATAACAGGGCTGCAAGACTATTGGCAGGTGTTTAGTCATCAGGAAAAGCTTTTTTATTTGCATCTGTTGTCGAGTTATATTTTTCAAACTGTTCCTTCTCTTCATTGATGTTCTTGACGATTGAGCTAACTATCCTAGCATCCAATGTACTGCACATTTCCTTTCACTTTGATCTTTTCAGAAGCTTTATACCCATCTGAAAAGATCATCAGTATATTCAACATGGAACAAAATGTCCTGTTTTTCTTGATCTTGGCATTAATTTTGTTAATCGCAGACATCATGCTTTCGTTTCGTTCCCCCTTTTGTTAGAAGTGTCAATTAGATGTTTTGTTTTTTTCCATAAAAGACTTAAGAAGCATTCTGTGCATAGTAAGGGCCATAGCATTTTACATTGCCTCTAGGAATACAAGTCTTAGCTTTGTTAAGGGTAATTTCCTTGAAATTCAGCCAGCTGTTATTGAAATTGTCAGTCAAGGGTTCTAAGGCTAGGGTGGTGTCTACAAAATCTCCGAATAAATCCCAGTCACCCTTTCATAGTTCCAAAATTTTTCTCAGATATAATGATCTCACTGTTTTTTCGTAAATTCCAGAAGAATCAACAGATGACCACTTCTAAAACTGTTTAGCAGAGACCATGAGCATTGAGAGAAAATGCCCGTACTGGCAATCATGATGTCAATAGCCTCAGAAGGTATTATAACTAAAGAAAGTGCAGGTATCGGCTCCTAAAAAAAGGCAAGTTTTCAATGAAGCAGGTTTCAAGAAACAGCGGAAAATAAGGTGTTACCAATGTGGAAAGGACGGACATATCCGACCTAACTGTCCATCGCTGGAAAAGAATAAGGCTAATCTGGTGAATAATCTAGGAACGGAGAGTTTAGGAAAATGTTTTGAGTCGTATTTCAAGAAAGCAGTAATTAATGGGATAGAGAGAGAATATCTGAGAGATACTGGAGCTGGTATAGGTCTGTGCAATAGTACTTGGATTAATACTAGTGACTTATTAGGGGAAACTGTATGGGTGAAACAGCCTTTGGACACAGAATGTAAATGTTTACCTTTGGCGAAAGTCACCATTGAAGGTGATTTTGGTGTGGTCACCACTAAGGCAGTGGTTACGGTAGAATTAGATAAAGAGTATTATTTGTTAGGAAATACAACTGCACAAATGATAGAAGAAATTAGGGAATAACCAGTTCTCTTGAATGCTGTGGAAACTCGTAGTCAAGCACATGCATGCAGGAGTTTCGAGAGAACGAGCATAGAAGACTTAGATTCCAGATCGGAAGAGAAGAAAGAGATAGAAAGTGAAAGTGTTGTGAATAATGAGCTTTCGGAAGAAGGGAAGTTAACAAGTTATACAGAGGACTCTATTCAAATTCCAGTCATCAGTTCAGAAGAAAGGTCTATCCTTGCGGATGTTTCGTCAGCAGAATTCTTGGAAACACAAAAAAAACATGCGCTAGTTTAGCGGCCATCTGGAAGAAAGGAGAAAGTGAAAAAGATTTTACAATTGTAAATGAAGAGACTACTCAGAACGGCAGGTTCTAAAAAGGGGGAAGATTAGCTTCAGCTGTGTGTGCCTCTGGTTTTTAGGAAAGGGATTTTGAAGTTATGACACGAGGAAACCTCTGGTCATTTGGGGGTAACAAAATCCAAGAACAGGTTTTGACACACTATTTCTGGCCAAATTGTTACCAGAAAATTGAAAAATTTGTGAGGAAATGTGATATTTGTCAGAATGTAGGTCACAATAGGGATAAAAAGAAAGCCCCAATGAAGGTTGTGCCTGTTATATGAGAGTGTAGCAGATTAAATATTGACGCAATAGGACATCTGATCCCTAGTTCACGTGAAAATACAGTCAAAAGTCTTTAATCCAGACGTCCATAATTCAGAATAATCTATAATCCGGACACTAGGGATCAGAGGTCCTACTGTTCATCAATATTTAATCTGCTACACTCTCAAATAACAGGCACAACTTTCATTGGGGCTTTCTTTTTATTACTATTGTGCGTTTACGCATGCGCAGAGGGGGGGAGGCGCACAATGAACTGTAAGTTGATCTTTCAGCACTATCCTTATCTTCAGGGCAGATGTTTTTATTTTATTTGGCTTATAATTCCTTACAAAATGTAGTATTTCATCTCGATGTACTCCGTCTTTGATATGATTTAAATCAAATTCCTTATAAATATCACGAATACACATCAAATAATTTTCTAATTTCAACTATGCGTAATGTATGCTTTACGCATGCGTGCGTTGAAAGAAATGTTTAATAAAGTAAACAATTTTTTTTTTTTTTTTTGTAAATTTTGATACCCTTTAGATCATAATTGCTCTTTATTTCATAAAATACGGTTTCATATTTTTAATTTTATAATTTCTGCATGCCATCTTACCAGATTTAAACTGATGATCTATAATCCGGAAAAACAGATAATCAGGAATCGCTGAAGTTCCGGCCACTCCGGATTAAAGACTTTTGACTGTACTTAATTACATCAATTTGTGTTGCTATCCAGATGCCATTCCTGTACAAAATTTAAGCTCTAAATGTTGGTATGCATATAGTGATGGACTGTCGCCAATAGCGCGATAAACTGTATGAACTGGAAACCCTGCAAAAGAGTTAACTGTGTAACTCTCTTATTCTTTACACTTACTTTTCTCACTCCTTCTGTATAGGACAGTGATATGATACTCTCTATAATATAAATTTCTTTTTCAATATGTATTTGGAATACTAAC